TAGGCCAATAAACGGAGAACACTGGCTTTTACATTCCATTTTGCGGCGAGCTATGCGGAACACTCTTTCCATAATCTGTCTACCTATTGGAAAATTGAGCTATTCATTTTCTAGAACGATCAAACACACGTTGAGAAAATTGATACGATTATACAAGTGTATGTAATCTGAAACGTGTTCTCTCGTCGACAAGTGAAATAATCTGCTATTAATCTCCAATTACTGCTTTTACGGTGTCCAATGTTTCTACTTTTATTTCTAAGTCTATTTACCTTCATATTTACATTTATATTTTTATTTCCATTTAGCTCGTTTCCTATTCACTCGCAACGTTCCGAAAATCGAAGAATGGTTAGATGTTGCCGAGCAGAACATAACAAGCAGGAAAACAACGACTGAATGGAGCAGACAAACTGGACGCAACTTTCTTGCGTGTAATTTGTCCTTGTCGCGTAATCGCTGGAAGAAAAAACGGCTGCCGTTCCCGTTCCCGTTTCTCGATTTTTCCGATTTTTCCCCGGTCGAGGAGTCGACGACTCGCCCAGCATCTTTCTCGTCGGTACGCGCCTCTCACCCCGAGCCCGGCCAATTAATCGCGTGCCGCACGTAACATCTATTAGATCACGCGTGCCATTGATTTTCTTGCGGCGCAAACGTTCACCTAGAACGTTCTAGTTTTACACGTCATCGGATAGATCGAAGGAAGCACGCAGAACTTCGTCGAACCGCGTTTTCTGCGATATTACATCGTTGGAACATGAAAACAGTCAAATGGACGTTTCGCAATTTAGAAACGACGTTACTCGTCTAATGACTCGATGTAATCCTTAACGAAGACATTAGAATTATTAATCGTCGGGTATCGTAGATCTCGTGTTACCTATCATCCGATTACGTGGTTAAACTATTTGTATAATAACACGTTACACTGTAGATCTTTATGGAAATTCTCGTTTTCAAGAGTCTAATTAGAAGCATCGCACTTGAGATTTCCGCGCGATCGACTTTCGAATTTCCCATAAACGTATAAAGATCCGCAGTCCAGTTATGATATAATGGGCAGATCTTTCCTGATCGAATTCCAGCGATAGGAGACTACCCGCGCAAGGGAACCTGGTTAAACGGTTACGTTGCAGGTCGTCCTTTCACTAATTGTAAAACGAACGATCTCCCGCGCGCGATAGAAAGTAAAAGCGATCGAGCGGCAGGTTGTCTTGCACTTTCTACGGAAAATGAAGGACGATCGTGTTTCGCATCCGTTCGTTTACCCGCTTTGACGCGCGAGGGACCGAACTAATTTTTTCAACGCCATCCTCGACGCTCGACAGGTCTCTTCAATCTATATCGAACATTTCTGGGAGATCCTTATCGAAACTCTCTTCGAGACTTTCATTCGAAACTTATAGAAATGTTCATTTGTTACTTTGTATAATTATTCTTCTTACAATTGGTCCCGAACGGTATAACGAACCCGATTCGTTAACCAGAGTAGTCAACTTCAACAAAGCATTCGAACGAGGTGAAACGTTTGAATACCGAAACTCTAAAATGTAGAAAAGGCGTGTGGTCATTCGATCCGACGAACGCCTCGATTGCCTAGCATTAGTACATTTCGATCGACACGTTCAGAGTGTTCTCGCGTTCCCACGTTCCAGAAGTAGCTAACGACCCGCACGCAAACGATCGAACTGGCCGCGACAAAGTTGCCACCAGCTTGGAAGCTTTTCTCATTTGCTTCCACGAGATCCCCACGATCTATGAATCACGCGCCGCCGAAGTGTCCGCGAAGACACCGCGAACAAGGCGCCATTAAAGCGCAGAGAAAGTCGGTAATATCTTAAAACCGAACCCCGTCCGTACCTCTTCCCACGACTTTCGAAACGGACGCCGCTTCCTGATTAATTTCGATTTACTTCTCGCTCCTCGCGAGTCCTCCGGAACCGTTCTCACTTTTTCCTCTAGTTTCTTTCTCGCTTACAATTTACCGACTTTGCTGTCTGCCCTTTGTGCTACCTAGGAGGCTCTCGGTAGCCGTTTCACGACCTGGAGTGTTACATTCATTTCTGGCTTTTGGGAGAGCCGTGTCCACTAGGAATTTGTTCCCAACGTTTCGCCAGCATTGCAGCTGGCTTCATTAGGGGGCTAAAAAAATTTCTAGTGGACACGACTCTCTCCCGAAAGCCAGAAATGAGATTATTAGTGGATTACCAGATTATTAGTAAGATCTAGCGGAACCAGTGGAACTAGTAGGATAAAAGGTCAGCTGAAAACGTTACTAGTATCGAATAGTTAAAACACCGAGAATCGTGTTGACCTAGAGCGATAGGAACTGCTGGCAAAGGACCCGCCCACCGACTAGTCCCAGTGCCAAGATCCGTATCGACGATCAGCGAGTCCGCCGGGAAAATAGAGCGAAGGCGATCGAAAGCGATCGAAAGCGAAAGCCAGGAAAAATCGCGCGGCCGTTCGAACGGGGAGCCGCGGATACAGTTTGCCGAGCGTAAAAGTGAAGGAGAGCCCACCCGTTATGCAACGGGAACTGATTACGAGGAGAACCCGCGCGTCTCGCGATTAATGCGAGCGTCCGATCGTACGTGCCGATGCCGGGTTGCGCAACCCCCGTGCCGCGATGTAATAAGGGCAGCGCCGATACGTTTTCCACAAGCGTGTCCGAACACCTTTCTAAAAACAAAACCGCGGCCCGGAAGAGCGAGCTCTTCGGTAATGAAACTGGAAAGCGAGACTCTCCGCATCACGAACGAACAGCCTCGCCTGTGACTCGATCGATTCACCCTTTGGTCTTCGACCCTTTAGGTCGCAAACAGAAGTATCTTCGCGATAAGCGTTAGTTAACCTTGCCATTTTTAACGGAACCTTTAGTAGATTTTTCTGGGAAATCCTAGTGATAATAGTCACGATGATAGTAGTAATACTAGTGATAATAATCATGATGATAGTAGTAATACTAGTAATAATAATCATGATATTATTATTATTATTACTGTTATACTATATTATATTATTATTATTACTAGTATTACTACTGTTAATACTACCAGTTGACTGGTTCACTAACGTTTACCAATGTTCGAATATACCGTTTCAAAGCTCTATTCGCACTAACCCTTTGCAGACGAATGTCGGCATTTTGCTGAGATCAAACTTCCACGCTTAGAATACTAAATTGCGAACGAATGATTTGACTATTGGAACAGCGAGAAATCAGAACGGTTTCCTTATTCTCTACGATTTAAGCGTTCAATAATTTAGCTTCATTTGCTGAATATTTTGTATGCTTCCAACAATCTTCATCCGCAAAGGGTTAAAGGGTTGAGAAAGTGGGCCATCTCTCTAAGAATCGCACGTCTTGCGAGAAACGGACTTACGCCACTTTGAAGAGTAAAAAGACTGGCTCGTATAAGATGCGGACGCGTCGAACTTGATGCCAGCATCCGCGACGCAACCGGGTGAATGGATTTCGCTCGCGGCGCAACGCGTCGTTCGAACGAAAGAGACAGAACATATAAACGGTCAGCTTTTCGCATCAGCTGTGGGAAAGCAATGGCCAACAGCCTCGCGCGCAACCACCTCGAGGAATGCTACGGACGGGATTGAATTTCTGTTCCTTGCATTTCCAGAGCCCGGTTTCGTCGTTGCTCGAGTGCCCGTTTAATTGGCCGCCGCTTAGGTCAACCGCTTGTGCGGTTATGTGCCAATATCGATGCTTTCAAAGTTAACAAATGTAGACGAGCGCAGGATGCTCGGTTGTTGCTCGATTAACCCTTTGCGGACGCAGATTCCTTGATACAAAATATTCAGCAGATGAAGCTAAATGATACATCGATTCCTTAAATGATAGGAAAAAGAAACTACGCGCTGATCTCTTGGTGTTTGAGTAATTAAATTATTTGTTACGACTTAATCTTCGAAACACGAAAACTTCATCTCGAAATGACATTCGTCCGCAAAGGGTACCGGCTCAGTGAAATTGACTTCTGTAATTTCAATTAGATTGTAGTACTATCTGCGAAATGTCTACGAACGCAAAAATCCTCGTCCGCGAGAGGAGCAACGAGGCAACGGATAAACAACGCTCGAAAATCGATTCGCGGAATATAGAAATTCCGTAGGACTCGTTCACGACCGTGAGCCAGCGATTAACTTCGCCTCGGAGAGACGAACAGTCCGGAGCAATTAAGATCGCGGTAATTAACCGAGGCATTGTTCTCTGCCCCTTCCCGCCGCGCGAGGCTGTGAGACAATCTCCCCGGGATCCGAGAAAGTCCAACCGCCTCGCGGTTTTCATTTCGCAGCGTCTTCGAATAATCGCAATCCAGATGGCCGCCTCGAACTTTAATCGAGAACCATCTGGTCCATCGTTTCCGTGTCAAATCCTGTCCCAACTGTCGGAGGGATGATGATGATGTGAGGGATGATGAGTCGATGGTACTTAACCCTTAACAGTCCTATGTCAGACTCGACATTCTATTTTATTGCGACCTCTACCTGTTTTAACAATTTTTTCTATATTTGTAGTACAATTGTACCATTTAACCCTTTGAACTCCGTAGGCTCCAATATTGCACCAGTTATAATATCAAATATTTTAACGAATCAAAGAAACTACTCTAAAATTATTAAATTTTCCACGCATCCAAATTTCGTACTGGAAAGAAAAATAAAAGGTCGAAGGAATGTTACAGCATTTCTCATTTGCACTAGAGATACCATAAAAATTAGTTGTAGTTGCTGATAAATTACAAAACCATCTGGAGTGCTAAGGGTTAAAGGTAACATTTCAATGACTTCCAAATATTCTTGAATAAATAAATAGAGCGTCAGAAACCAAGAGCACGTCGAACCGCAAAGGGTCAAAGGGTTCTAGAGTCGACGACCCAGAAACTAAGGAGAGTTCCGAATAATCTACACGAACTTCAACGCTAAAATTAACATTCGCAAAACGACAGTAGATTGATAACCTTACCGAACGGGATTTTCAGAGTCGACCGTCCTCGGACCCGCGGCCGCGGCTCTCAGCGTCGCAGCAGGCGCAGATCCTGAGCGACGTGCAGCAGCATCAGCAGCGGTACCGGCGGCCGCAGCAGGACCTAGCCAGCTCGTACTCCTCGCTGTCCAAATACAAAGTAGACCGCTCGAAGCAGCAGCAGCAGCAGCAGCAGATCCAGCAACTGCTGCGCCAGCAGCAGCAAGTGCAGCAGCTGATCCAGCAGCAGCAGCTGAAGATAGCGCAGCAGCTGAACAGCGCGAACTACCTGAGCAACGCCGGCAGGTCGCAGCCCCGCTTCGAGTCGCCCAAACAACTGCAACCGGAATTCTCCAGTCAGTACCAAGATGGCAAGAGGTTCGAGACCGTTCGCCAGGACCTGTCGCAGCCGCTGTTCTCCGACCAGCAGACCGTGCAGTTCCAGGAGTACCTGGAGAAACAGCGGGACCTGGAGCAGCTGGAGAAGCAGAGGCAGCAGCTGCTGCTGGAGCAGCAGGAGGTGCGCAAGCAGCAGGAGCTGCTGCGGCTGGACCAGCTGCGCAAGCTGGCCGACGCGACCAGCACGACGACCGCCGCGCCCACCGCCGCCCCGACCGCGATCCTGTCCACCGCGTTCCCCAGCAGCACCGCCTCGTCGGTGCTGGTGTCCCTGCCGACCGCCAGGAAGATCACTCCGTCAGAGACGGAGCTGTTCCTGAAGGCGATACAGACTCACCAGAAGAAGTACTCCATCGCAGCCACGTCGACGACGCCTATCGTCTCGACGACTCGCCAGGTCTCGACGACGAGGCCCACGACGAGAGTCTCGTCGTCCGCCATTCCCGAGAACCTGCTGAGCTTGATCCAGGAGCAGGAGGCTCGCCTGGCGGAGCAGGGCAAGCCGAAGCCCAGGATCAAGGTGGTCTATCAGACCGAGAGGCCCGTGGACCGCGAAGAGAAGAACCCGAAGACCCTGTCAGGACCTCCCGGCTCGGACAAGGATGCTCTGCTGAAGCAGCTGAAGCTGGCGCTGGCCAAGTCCGTCGACGACGACGCGAGGAACGTCAGCACCAGGGACATCGTGCTCCCTGATGGCAAGAAGATCCAGGTGATCGACGACGTCTCGGCTCTGTCCACTCTGCCGGCACCTCTGCTCACCACCACGACCACCGTCAAACCTCCCAAGGCTATCCTCGAGGAGCTGACGAAGGGAGTGCTGCCTCCGGGCGCCGACTTCGAGGTGATCAGGCAGAAGAGCGACGGCAAGCTGGAGGAGATCGGCAAGGCGCCCATCCAGAGCCTGCCGGCAAAGAAGGTCACGTTCGTCGTGCTGGAGGAGCAGCCCGACGGCAGCTACAAGGTGCAAGGCGTGAAGGGCAACGCGGACAAAGAGGGCGACGTGGACTCCATCGTCGAGAGGATCAAAAAGGGCGAACTCAAGCTGCCGCCCAGCTCCGCGAATCTGACCAAGGTTGCTGCCAGGCAGCAGACAGGTCCTGTTAGGAGCACCGTTTCGACGACCTTCAGACCTACCACTGTCGGAGGGTCCACGGTCTCCTCGGTGCACAGTGACAGGTGAGCAGAAGAGAACTTGAGTAGAACTTAGGCGACCGTCTAAAAAGAACTATAACTACCTCCTCCATTATCTTCAATTGAACTCACAATCAATTCGGTTAGGAACTGTGTTTTTCAAAAACAAGAACCGCATTTGACTGCAAATAATCCGACTTGGAGACTTACTAAACAAAAGAAAAGATAAACAGAATAGGCAATACGTTGCTGAGTGAACAGTGGAAGATCTCCCCATTCGGTTGGCTAAGTGTTAGAACTAGAAACAGAACTCGACACCTGAAATAGAGATTCGTTGATGTTCCATCGTTCACCGTTTCAGGTCCGTCGAGTACTCGCCAGTGCGGAGCACCGTCTCGACGACCTACAGACCCAGCACCGTCGCAGGCCTCAGCTCTGTTTCCTTGGTGCAGAGCGACAGGTGAGTGGAAAATTCCAAGCGTTAGAAAAGGACAAATCGGGAGACTAAACAGCTGAAGATAAAGAATACGCACAGTTTCTGACCGATCGTCTTTGCAGGTCCGTCGAGTACTCGCCGCAGGTGACGGTCTCCCCGAACTCGGTGTCCACGGGCGACAAGTACCTGTCGTCGGCGTCCAGCGTGACCGGACACGTGTTCAACTCGCTGAATCCCATCGAGACGACCCTGTCGACCCCCAGGTCGCTGTCCACCGCGGCGGACCAAGACGGCAGGGTCACCGGCAACACGGCGAAATACCCGACCGTGACCAGGAGCCACTTCATCCCAACCATGGCTCCGGTGAACGAGATCATTACGACAACGCCGGGCCCCGTGCAGACTTTCCCGCACCGTTCGACCGCTTCTTACGTTCACTTCACCGTTAGGCCATCCAGTGAAACTCCCCCGACGGCGAGGCCGATTTCTACTACCGGCAGGCCGGCGACCACCTTACATAACGAGAACAACGTTTACCAAGAGGGCTTCGAAAGGTCCACGCTGTCCTCTCCGACGGAGTACCCAGCCGCCAACAGCCGGCCGCAGGAGGGCCTGGCGACGCTGCTCAAGCGCGAAGGATTGTTCGCCATGACCAAGTACCTCAGGCAATCCGGACTCGACAGTGTCCTGAATGAGACAGGTACAGTTCTCGTCGGTGACCTTATCGGTGAACTCAATTTCAAGGGAGAGCCGTGTACTAGAAATTTTTTCTTTCTGGCTTCATCAGGGGACTAAGGGCACACTGATACTGATGTGTGCCAAGGAAGAGTCTCTTTAACACTAGATTTACGGACGTTTGTTCTATACTTTATTCTATTGTTCCTAGAAAACTACATGCTCGTCTATATAAATCGCGAAAATCGTAGCTTCAAAACTAAAGTATTGCAATACGTATTCGCATAATTGTACGAATCAAAATCGACTTTACTGTTACTAAAATAATGTTTAAAAAATTCAGTGTCCGTCAAATCGACGGGTTCCGTAAATCTAGTGTTAAATACGTACCCTGTACCCTTTGACACTAGGTTTACGGAACGCGTCAAACTGACGCATATTGGATTTTAGAAATATTATTTTGTAAATGTTCACGCCGAGTTTGATTGATGCAATCACACTGGCATGTACCCCAATTACCTACTATCAAATCTCCAGTTCCCACAATCTAAATAAACGAGCATCAATTCTTTTAGGAATAATAGAATGAAGTGTACAATAAATGCCCGTAAACCTAGTATTAAAGAGACTCTTCCTCGGCACACATCAGTATCAGTGATGTCTTTAGCCCCTGATGAAGCCAACTGCAATGCTGGCGAAACGTTGGGAAAAAATTCCTAGTGGAGAAATGAATGTAACACTCCAGGTCGTGAAAGCATCAAAACTACTAATCAATTCCGAGGTTATAAGTTAGGAAGTCGAACCGATGGAAGACTAGCTTAGAAATGCAAACTGACCGATTGGTGAGAGATCTCCTGAACCGTCGCAGTCCGTTCTGGAACCTGGCTTGAACCCTGCCCTCGTTCTAACGGTTCAAGGTCTTGTCCGAAAACGAAAGCGCGAAGGAATGATGTAATTGGATACGCGAAGATTGATGTGTCTTGTTGTCTGGTACTCAACGCTAGAACTGTCGAGGCATTGATGTGTGGTCCTCATAGAAATTGATAGATTTCTAGATTAGATAATATTTGTCCATAATATTGAATTGTTTTCTATCGTCGAGAGTCCTACCGATTGAGACGCGTTCGGGCTGATTTTGTCAGAAAGTATTGTAAAGGGTCGAAGCGTGTCGCCGTGATACACTTACCACGGCTGAGTTTGATTGTTCACACGAGCGCTCGTCGCTTCCCACCGGCCGGCGTTAGCCATGCAACGTTCATTGGAAAAATGTTCTCACGGGCAACCGGCGCAGTTTCGACACAGCCGCCTCTTCGCGGGAACAATGATGGTCTTTTCTCGCTGTTCGATTCTCCCACGTTACAAAACCGACGTAATTGCGTCTGGTAATTATCGACGGTTACCTTAATTGTCCCCGTGTCGTTTATCGATTATATCCTGCGCCATTTAGAAGTCGATCGCCTGTCCCGCCGTTGCCAGTGTATCGACGGATCGTCGGCCGCCGTTTAATTGGACGCTACTCAACGGTCAGCTGCAACGAGAACAATGGGACTGTGCGGAATCGTGTCAGGCCTTCCGTTCAATTTATTTATTTATTTATCTGTCTGTTCGTCAGCCTTCGCGCCGTTTCTAATTGAGCGTGTGACGTTTCAGGCCCGTACACGCTGTTCGTGCCGACGGACAAAGCCTTCAGGACGCTGCTGGTGCAGCTCGGAGGACCGGAGAAGGCTGAGCAGAAGTTCAGAGACAATCCGCGACTTCTCAGCGGAGTAAGGACAATGATAATAGTTTAACCCTTTGCACTCCAGGTCGTTTTGTAATCTATCAGCAACTGCAACTAATTTTTATAGTACTCCTAGCTATAACATTCCTTAGATCTTTGATTTTCCTTAGTACAAAATTCGGATGTGTGGAAAATCTAATAATTTTAGGGTAGCTTCTTTAAAATTCATTAAAATATTTAATATAACTGGTGCAATATTGGAGCCTACAGAGTTTGAAGGGTTTGTCTCCTCTCTAAGGGTCAACACGTTGAACGAATCAAATCAAATTACTACAGTTCATTCAATGGAAAGACGATTATTTGCCAACACTTGTATATTATAAACAATGCTACCGAATGCAACATTGAGCAAGGTCACCGTGCAATAATGACGCAATTCAATCAAATGATTTAATATCATATTTTTTCCATTTTGAGCATTTTCTATCGTCGCATTGCACTATTACAAAGTCTATCGATCAATTAATCAAAGAACTAACACTGCACGTTCTCGACAGCTTCTGCTGCATCACGTGATCCCGGGAGCCTTCAGGATCGACACTCTGCAGGACGAGATGACCGGCGTCAGCTTGGCGGGGACCCAGCTCAGGGTAAACGAGTACGCGACGCACGACCACGAGTGGAACGACGTCAAGGTACGTCTTGGATGAAAGAGTGTACTCGCGCGACGAGGTGTTCAACCGTTTCATTCGCTGTTCCATGGATCCGAGCAGTTGACGACGATAAACGGAGCCAAAGTTGCGCCCAACAAACGCGACATCGAGATCCCGCAAGGCGTCGCCCATGCAGTGGACAGGGTGATGTTCCCGCTTCCGGTCGGTGACCTCGTGCAGACCCTGCAAGCTGACCGCGAAAGAAGGTTCACCACTTTCTTGAAGATGCTCTACGTTTCTGGCCTTCAGGACACTTTGTCAGGTGAACGACCTGATTCCTTTTCATTGGGATATATTTCATATTTATAAATCATTGCATTTGATTCTATGTAGACTTAACTCTGCACTCGAAAGTTTTTACTAAAAATATTCAACATTCTCCTATAAGATACAAATGTTCTTTGAAACTAATGAGAGAACGTATATAAATTAAGAACGAAAATTATTTTATTTCAATGTTTCATGTATTGATGTATCATACGAAGTTTAATATTATATAAAAAACTTTATAATTTTGCAAATTAAGTGGAGACTGAGAATCACCTCTAGAGTGCAAAGGGTTAACTCTTTGGAATTATCCTGTATTTATCCCTTGGAGTACTGGAACTTGGTACTCGGTTTTCGCAGCTCATTAATACTAGATTTACGGTTATTCTAGACATTATTTCATCATTCCCAGAAAACTAGATGCTCGTCCGCTAATTGATCTATATTTCCAGGGCCCAAATCCTTCACCATCTTCGCCCCGACCGACTCCGCTTTCGATGCGACCCAGTCGAAAGACGGAGCGCCGATTTGGTCGGAGGAAGATGGACCGGAAGCGGCGAAGACGATCATTTCCAGGCACATTCTACCGTCCACTCTGTACACGGCAGGGATGAGGTATTACTTGCAGAAGGACACGCTTCGCCCTCAGTCGCCTGTTCATATTCACAAAAACGGCGGTGGGTTATACTTGATTTGTATCTGTTGACCTAGAGAAATATTTCCAGAGTGAACAATGAACGGTTCCTAATCGTGTTGCAGGTCGAGTGCGGGTGAACGAGGCGCACGTCGTGACGCACAACGTTCCAGCGACGAACGGAGTCATACACGCGATCGACGGTGTGTTGTGAATCCTGGAGAACGACGCGGGAACGTCCGTTGGAGATCACCGGTCCTGGATCCGGTCCCAGACCGATCCAAGTAACGGCGCGTGCTCGTACTGATGCTTTGTAATTCACTACTACTACCGTCGTTATCCGTTGTAAAAAGAAACGACAGGCTCGACGCAGCCAACGAGTAGACGCACGATCTGCCATAGATGTAGCAAAATTAAAAGTGAAAAGGATAACGGAACTTTGAAAAAAATATATTTTTATACATATATATATATATATATATAAAGCATTAATTATGTACATAACAGACAACGAAATGTGAAAGATATCTGGTACACCGTGACAAGCACATTATGTACTAAGTTTAATCATCATCGAGTACATCGAGCTGCAAATGTTTGTTTAAATTTATAAGTACATGTTATAGTCTCAGAGAAATCATTCAATGTAAATGTGTAATAATCGAACTATTTAAAACCAACGTGTAAACTGATTTGATCGAATCGTTGAACTCACACTACCTAAGTTTCGAGTGATCGCGGTTGTAGGTCTAGTAGATCGCCTTGTACTTCTTAATCTCTATCATTATGTGATGAATGTTAGTCAACTGTGTCCGCGCGTTTGGCGGGAGGATTTTGTGAAGCCTATTGTAATATTTAACCAGCTGGGTCATTGCACTTTGCACTAGCGTCGTTCCAAGCACCAGGCTGTGGAAGGACGTAATTACTTCACGATTAATCTCTTCTAACGCCCGTTTCCAATTGTTCGTAAACGATTGTACGAGGGCCAACGCTTTCCCTTCTTGCCTCTTCAGATCGTCCGCCTGGCCCTTATTTATCAGCACCTCCCACTCCTTGACTAATTGTATTATTCCACCGAAATACGGCGTTAGAACCTCTTCAACGTACTCCGCGGAACGTGCGTTTAGCTGCTCGCGAAAGCTCTCTTCTTCCTTCGTGGAATTGTTGCGTGTTCGCCCCTGGACGTGAAAGTTTCAAAGAATCAGTGAATCGTAGAAATAGGACACATGAAAATATATATCTATCTTACCAGTAACACGCTAAGAACTAGGTCGTAATTGTTAATTAGAAATACTAGTTGCTCGATTCTGTTAGGGAAAATGGTCGCCATTCTCAGTAAAAAGAACTGGACAGCTTCCCTTAATTCCGCCAGCAGCTGTATTGCACTTTCACAGGGGAATCCCTCGCTTACGCAGATCATCGCAGCACTGAACTCTGCGTACCTCCGTGTAATCTATAAATAAATTTCATACTCGTGTTTCGACCATTCAACTTTCTTTGAGCTTAGTGTTTTAAACGTACGTAATGAGGACCGGTTTCTTTGTGTTTGAACGGGTCGTATTCGCTGTCCTTTACACTTTGAAGTTTCAGTGGGTCGCAGTCTTTTATACTTTGAATGTTCATTTGGAAAACGTATTCGAACCTGGAACGTACACGTTAAGGGACATATTAAAACGACAAGGTATTTGTTAAATGATCAATGATATACCTTTGTATAAATATAATCACCTAGGTGAAATCACTGCAGTCATATTGTCCCAGTACTTGTCTAGAGCTGGCACAACTCTTTTGTGGCAAATTATCCGGTATCGCATCACCAAATGCAAGCAGAGGAACAAGGCTATGGTGTCATAACAGTCGTCCACAAAAGACTGCAGGTTCTTCACCATTAAATTCAGCGTTTTCCCCATTACCTATATTCCACATGGGCATTTATTAAATCTGTTCTTGTGTTAATATTACCAAAAGTACACGAAGGACGTTTAGAACTTTACCTGGTTAAATATATCCATTGCTGGCACACCACTGACTTTGAAGAATTCGGTTAAGAACAGGTATTCTCTGCAAGCATTATCCAACAGGGCATACTGTTCGCTCCTGAATAATGCTTCGTAGTGATACTATGGAAATATAAGGTATACTGGTGAAACTTTTAGAGAGGAGGTACAATAATAAATAATAACGTGCTTACTCTTGTTTTAGTTGCAGTATGGGGTACAATGATTGGTGCTTCCAACAGAGAAGTTAGAACATCTCCTCTATTTCCTATAGAAAATACTGTACCCCTGTGTTTTAATGTTGTTTTATGGAAAATACCTCTCCCTACTGTATCTTCCACACCCATTAAATCATCTTTGGAAGCTCCTTCCTCAAACTGTACAGTGTAAAAGTATCTTTAGTGAATAAAATTTATGGTGATCCTCTCAATTCTGTGTATGTTTTATTTTATTACCTGCAATTTCATTAATCTCGAAGAATACGATTTGAAGTATGAAAAATAGATTTTACTCATTGTACTAATGTATTCCCCGCATATCTCTTCTGCTACATTTCTTTCATTTGCTAAAATAAATTCAAAGAAAAATTTATACTTCAACATATTGGTCTGTGGCACTTGATAATTAGTCATTGGTTTCCTGAACTTGTAAATTTGCTCTAATAAATATGCTCTGATCTTAGCCATGGCTTTCACTTTTAACTTCTGTAAAATATCTTTCACGTCTAAACAAGATTTGGCCTCCTTGAAAGTCTGCTCTTTCACGAATTTTATTTTGTCATTGAGAGTCTCCAATTGAGTTAAGAATTTCTTCTCTGTTACAGGACAATCCATAATTCCACTGTAAATAAAAAATCGTCAATAACCTTATAAAATCTGAACCATATAGTCTCTAAACATCGAAGTAAATTAATAAAGTTCATTCTTACGCGATCAGAGCTTCCGACACTGTCATGTCTTCGATAAATTGACTAAGAGGTGCTCTAATCGTTTGCCTGTTAGACAACTGTTGACTCATTGCCACAGATTTACGTTGAAGATAAAGTATCTCTGAACTTATGCTCCCTAAATCCAACTGGAAACTCATCAGCATCAATTCCATCTTCTGCAAGAGAAATACAATTATTAAAATGTGAAAAATTCTCAATGACAACAACTAACAATGTTCGTTACTTTGTAGCAGTAATACACCAACCTCCAGAATGTTATCGCATGCAGCAATTTGATTATGAAGACTGGCAATATTCTCGCTTTCCTTAATGTAGTCCTGAATAGATTTATTTTCAACTTCTTTTAGTTCTTTCTCAATTTGCCTGGAGTACTGGCGTAGGTCGGTGCCACTCTTTAAAACCTCCTGTACGACGTCATCCCCGAGGTCTTGACACAACTGTGTCTCGTTGTCATCGAAAACGTCAAATTCAGTTGACATTTTGAATAAACGATATACACGAGTCGAACCGATATCATTAACCCACTTTTGACAGGCCATACAATAAACGCTTTACTCTTCACTAGACAAGTTCCCAGCCTTATGATAAAACAGGATACGTGTCACGAATGTCCGTTTCGCCATCTACGGCGCAACACCCAAGCTGTTAGCATTCCTGTACGCTGTCAACGATATTGAATAATCAATTCCTGTCCCTTACAATTAATTTAATATTAAACACCCGTTGCGAAACTTACAAATTCCAACCGCCTATATCTATGCATACAATGTATCTCGCAATATGTCAAACGAAAGACAATGACTCATAATGACAACAACAATATTCATACTGTCAACGTATAAATATTCATTTCATAAAAGCTTGAGAAAATTAATAAAATCGTTCTACATTCTGATGCTCAGCACATAAAATAATCTTAAAACCTATGAAAAATATTAATTTCATATATTTTAATTGGCATATAACTTGGCAGCGCAAAATACGCAACTGCTAAGCCGGGAAAAGTTCGTCAGGGGCACGCTCATGCTGGCGTGACAGCGGCCGCTGAATTCATGTCGTAGCCTACGCGACAAAAACGAGCATTTTTCTGCAGCGCCATCTAGCGGACGGGCGTTTTCGAAGCTTTTCCCTATATCTGTAATGTGTAAGACAATGACAGAGACACTGTGCGACAAGGACAGAGATAGTCTCACCCGTGCCACCTCCTAGGAAAAAGCATCTCATCAGTCCCTGGTACGTACGCGCAAAGCATCAGGACCGAGGAGGTCACCAGAATATAAATTTGGGTGGCGCCATCTAGCGGTGGAAGCTAGCAACTAAATGCGTCGCCTCGATGTGGAGAACAACAGCTAATTCATTAATAATTCAACTACCAAGCATCAATTATGAACATTTGTTATTTTTAATTATAGACTGGATCCTCCCACACTTGCCCATACCCCTTTCGTTAAGATTTTCTGCCTCGTTAATTATTTATTAGTTATTATCCAAGACGATGTCGCAAGGTAACATAGAATTTTTTGACAGGGGCCCAATATACAATTAGTTTCTCACTTAATAGGAACAAATTGTGAACATTTATCACCGAAGAAATTAGAGAAGACCCTTGGGAATATTCATTAGCAGTTTGAACCGGATTCGAGTAGTGATTAATAAGTTATTAGCGATTCTCGGAGAGGTTAGTAATATTCCGTAAAAGCGAATGGCGCCACCTATTGGGAAAATTGCGCAAACTTCTAACCAAATAGTACAAGCTGCGTCCGCTAGATAGCGCCAAAAACGACTTCTTTAAGGACGCGAAGAACCCACCTGAAAATCGCTAATAACTTATTAATTATTACTCGAATCTCGTTCAAACTGCTACTGAATGTTCCCAAGGGTCTACTCTAATTTTTTCGATCATAACTGTTCACAATTTGTTCCTATTAAGTGAGCAACTAATTGTATATTGGGCCCCTGTCAAAAAATTCTAGGTTACCTTGCGACATCGACTCGGAGAATAATTAATAAATAATTAAGGAGGCGGAAAATCTTAACCAAAGTGATATGGAAAAGTAGGAGAGGGTCCAGTCTATAATTAAAAATTACAAATGTTCATAAATGATGCTTGATAGTTGAGTTATTAATGAATTAGCTGTTGTTCTCCACATCGCGGCGACGCATTTAGTTGCTAGCTTGTACCGCTAGATGGCGCTACCGAAATTCATATTCTGGAGATCTCCCGGTCCTGATGCTTCGCGCATACGCACCAGGGACTGATGAGATGCTTTTTCCAAGTTGGTGGCGCGAGTGCGACAATCTCTGTCCTTGTGGCACACTATCTCCATCCTTGTCTTACACATTACAGGTATACGGAGAAGCTTCGAAAACACCCGTCTGCTAGATGGCGCTACTATCGCCTCCACCCACGATTGTCTATCCTTGTCGCACACTGGCGCACTCCTTGTCTTACTCATTATAAGGATAGGGAAGTTTATGAGAAATTATGAGAACTGTATATTGAAATTATAAGAAATTGAAATCACAAATGATAAGAGCTTATATTGTATAATCTTTTCAGTTCTACCATCTTACTATTGACAGCCTTCTACGTTACATTAATAATTAATAACTATTTACTCCACCATCCCTCGGCATTTTAATGTTCTCCAATAAGTCTGCAGTGCGACGTTAGTCTGCCATTATACAGATAATTCCCAAAGTGTCGCGGTTGACGAAATTACATACAGTCTCATTGTTTTAAAACCTAATGGAGATGAATAGGATTATATTAAGACACTCGGTTAATTAATTTTATTAAACAATTTTATTCTACGTCTGTAAATATAGATACACGAGGAGCACAGTTCAGTTTTTACAGTTCCGCATTTAATGAACCGTATCTTGATTACATTCGGATTTTCTATCAGGTTTCTCGCACGCGTCTGCAGATTTCTTATCATCGCCACCGGCGAATGTCGCGTCCAGTGGACTCTCTAACAGTTTCTCCTTGTCTCCGTCGCCGCTGTTCGCCGTAGCACCGTCTGCGAAAGCAATAATTCTTTTCAACCCCTTGCCATACAACGACGAGTGAGACTCGTGATTTCTAAACTAATTCGACAAGGATCAATGTTGTTCATTACCCACGGATCAAATGATTATATAAACGATATTTATATTATAAATGATATTCTACTTTGCTATTATCAATTTATTATCTTCAAATGAAATTTCCACTTGAAGTAGAATGGAAAGTTTCGTTGTACTTACAAACTGTCGATAGTAAAATATTACACGAGCTTAGCAACGAAAGTAAATAGTTAATGAACAACATGTCGCGACGCTGAGGTAAACGAGGGGAGAATCTCACCGTAAAATATCTCGGAAATCTCCTCCTCCTCGTCGATGAAATGGAAGTGCTTGATATTCGCGAGACTTCGGATACTCTCGAGCGTTTCCGGGTGAACGTTCAAGAACCACAGCTTCTTCTTCTCGGCGTTTATGTTCTTGGACAGTATTTCAACACCCTGAAAAATGGCGTGTCAGTTCTCCGAACGAGACGGTACGAGTATTAACGAGTACCTTGATCGAAGTGTAATCCATGCACCGAATCTTCTCGCAGTCCACGACGAACGGTAGATCGTTCTCATCGTATTCGCAGATGATCTTGTGCACCTTGTTGCAGAAATAATTCGCGGCGGGGTAGAGGAGAGCGCTGTCCGGCTTGAGCGTCACGTATTTGTTCCCCAGCCGCGTCTGGAACGTAATCAAAGTATCTGAGGCACGGAGATATTAACAGAGAATCGAATGTTTGATGAACTAATTAACACTGGAACTACCGGACGAATCAAATTGACCGTTCCTACGTTCTTTCCCAATCATTAACCCCTTGCCGTCCAATAACGAGTGAGACTCGTGATGAAGATTTCTAGACAAATTTAACAACAATCAATGGTTGTTCGTTATCCACGGATCAAAACAAACAACTACTTTGCTATTATCAATTTATTACCTTCAAACGAAATTTCCACTACAAGTAGAATGGAAAATTTTGCTGCATTTCTCCCAAATTGTCGATGGTGAAATGTTACACGAGTTTAGTAATAGAAAATAAGAAACATCCGAGTGCAAAGGGTTAAATCACGTTATACGTGTACTTAGAAGAATGCTACCTTGCATATACCTTGCATTCGATGACTTGGACGCGTGGCCTGGCAGACGGGCGAAGCAGGTAGATCAAATTGAACACGGCGCCGGTCAGGAGTCCTATCTCGACGCCGCAGATCACGCTCACGAGGAACGTGACAACGGCTGCGACCGTGTCCCTCTCTACAATCAAATGAAACTCATGAGAGATCGGTTCTCGAACCTCGTCCTTTCCTATGAATAAAATCAGGAACGCTGACGCTTACTGCTTCCCTTCCACAGCAGCTTCATGATCTTCAGGTCGATGATGAAGACCACAGCTGTTATCAGCACCGCCGCGAGCGTGGCCCGTGGAATGTAATAAAAGTGCGGCGTTAGGAAGCTCAGCGCCAGCAGCGTCATGATCCCTGCAACAGTCGGTCCTCTTAGATCTCAGTTCCTCAGGGAATTCCTTGGTCCCTCGTGTCGCGATTGAAACAATTTCCTTTTAGTTTTGATGCTTTCATTGTCTGGAGTATTACATTCATTCTGACTTTCGGAAGAGATCCGCGTCCACTAGGAATTTGTTCCCTGCTCATGTTCCGGTGGTCACCAATTATTTTAACCCTTTGCACTCCGTAGGCTCTCAGTCGCCAATTGATTCGACACAGCAAAATTATAGAGTTTATTTAATATTAAACTTTGTACAATGCATCGACATGTAAAATGTTTAAATAAAACAGCCTCCTTTAATTTATGTGCGATTTCTCGTTAACTTAATTTGAAAGAATATCGTTGGTATTTCAAAATGTTAAGTATTTCTAATGAAAAACTTCTGGAGTGCAAAAGGTTGGTCAGCTGAACAATAGTACGTGTTTAAAGAGACTCTTCCTCGGCACGCATCAGTCGGTGGGCGGGTCCTTTGCCAGCAGTTCCTATCGCTCTAGGTCAACACGATTCTCAGTGTTTTAACTATTTGATACTAGTAACGTTTTCAGCTGACCTTTTATCCTACTAGATCCACTGATTCCGCTAGATCTTACTAATAATTTACTAATCTACTAATAATCTCATTTCTGGCTTTCGGGAGAGAGCCGTGTCCACTAGGAATTTTTTTCAGGCACGCAGATACTGTACTGTACAGTATCAGTGTGCCTTTAGCTCCCGATGAAGCCAGCTGCAATGCTGGAAACGTTGGGAACAAATTCCTAGTGGACACGGCTCTTTCCCGAAAGCCAGAAACGAATGTAACAAATTCCTTGATTCGTCGAGGGAAACATTACCAACGTATAGGCCAGCCATAGGCGTCCGTACGCCGCTCGCGCTGATCACGGCGCTCCTGGTGAACGCTCCAGCGGTCGGCATCGACGAGAAGAAGCTCCCCAGAATGTTGGACAGGCCCAGCGTCAGCATTTCCTGCGTCGCTTTCACGCCGCTTCCGCTCGCTGAAAAGATTGTAAATTACATTATTATTACATCGTAAAACTTACAGCGTAACGCGAGATAAATAAAGAAAAAAATTGTGTTTCCTTCGCACCGAACGATTTAGCAATGGCCACGTTCGCCAGCACCGACACCAGCGGCAACACGATCAACCCCGTCCCATAGTGCTGACACATGTCGACGAACGTGTAAGTCTGGTTGCCAACCTGGGACGAGAGGGGCGGCAGCGACAGCGTTGGCAGCCCCGACACGATTTTGCCTTCGGAAACAGTCTTGTTACTAACGGTAGGTCGCTCGGTAAGACGCTAAGGATGAATGCAAGAAACCTGAGAGGATGAACGGGGATCCTCCTCTTTGCTCTAAGTAGAACGCTATCGTGGACGCGAACAGGATGACCAGAGCGTTGCGGCAGATGGAAAGGAACCACAGTCCTTTCTTCAGAATCGCGGCTTTGCTTCTTCCTCCTTTGCCTCCTCTGTCGTCTCCTTTGGGGATACAGCAATCGAAGTCCCTTAGTTTCTGTGAATGTAAGCGAACCCTAGTAAACTTAATATTCTTAACACTAAAACTACCGAGCACTTCAATTGACTTTTGAAAATTTCGCTATAGAAACTCCAAGAGTATCTGTTGAGACTTTGATTTACAATTCAATTTGCGTAGTGCGAAATGAATTTCTTTAATAATTTCTCAGAGAAACATTTGTTACCTTTCTAATAATTGCAAAAGAAAGACAATTTTCATATTTGGAAGACTAAATGGCAAGCAAATGATTTAATTACTCAGCGAGAGATCAGCACTTAGTTTCCTTTTCTATTAGTTAAGTAATTGATGTATGATTTAGCTTCATCTGCAGAAGGTTTTGTATGTTTCAAAGAATCTCTGAATATTCTGAGCAAGTGGGAAGGCTCACCCTGAAGAACAGAAGGAAAGCTATGCTGGAAAGTCCCAGCGCGAAGTCGGGCAGCCGGATTTTCCTGACGTTCTGGAAGATCTTGACGATGTTACTGGCCACGCTGACCGCTTTGAACCTCAGTCCTAGCAAGCCTTGCAGCTGCGACACGATTATGATCACCGACGTGGCTGAAGTGAAGCCTGAAGTGACCGGCACCGATATGAAGTCCACCAGGAAACCTGTAAACGTTCGTTTTCAAGATAGAGCAATTTAACCCTTAGCACTCCAGGTTGTTTTTTAATCTGTCAGCAACTGCAACTAATTTTTATAGTATTCCTAGCGAAAATTAGAAATGCTATAACATTTCTTTCTTTTATTTTCCTTGTTAGTGGAAAATTTGGATGTGTGGAAAATCTAATAATTTTAGGGTAGCTTCATTAAGATTCATTCAAATATTTAATATTACAACTGGTGCAATATTGGAGCCTACAGAGTTCAAAGGGTTAACATTGCGGTTCACCGATGATTTCAACGCGCGGCGAGCCTGTAGGAGTAATTATCCGTGTTGTATCCAGAACGCGTTTAGGAAATATAACGGGTGAACAGGTAATTTCAAACGAAAGCGATCCTATTGATCTAAACGATCGATTCGATGCATTCGTCGCGTTCATCGGGAACAGCACACGGCGAATGAAGCTGCTCAAATGATTTACAACCCATCCATGTGTCTGCATCGTATCAGACGATAATTACATTCCAACGCGGAGATATCTTTCCGCCTCGGATCGTTCCGTTGAACAAGTTTAACGTTATTGACATTGCTCGGTCTGTCGAACTTTCACCAGCTGTTGCATCAATGTTATTGACCGTGTGGATCTTCGCTTCGCGAATGATTCAATATACTTTGCCTAAATGAAACAGGCCCATCAGCAGCTCGACGCATCCAGACAGAAAGCAGAACAGCACGATGAAGTCCACCGGCATGTTCCTCGTGTACTCCACGGTCAGCAAGGACATCAGGGAAGACGGTCCGATGGACACTTCCTTGACTGTCCCGAAAATCAGGTACACGAAGGCTCCGACGAAGCAGGAATACAGGCCGTACTGCGAACAATCGTGGAAATAGTATCGAACGAAATGAAATTACGATACTATTGTAGTATGTAGAATATTTAGCGTAGGTTAAAGTATTTTTAAGAAGAGTGAATGTAAGAATGTGAGTGAAGGACAGGCTGTAAAACGGTCGAGGGAGAGTGGCCTGCGCAACGTCACAGACCCAAGACTGCAGGACCAGCTTTCCAGGAGTGCATCTGAGTGTTTGCGACGAGTACGAGTGAGAAGAATGCTTGTGGTGGAGAGAATGATTTGGGGAGAGAATGTCTGTAAAAGGGTGGTAAAAGAGTGGCGAGGGAGAGTCGTGTGTTGGCCTCCGTGGCATTGAGTTGTACTTTTTACATGTTGTCCGTGTTGTTTCCATATTTCATTAAATACATATATTTATTCCTAATTCTCGATTACCGAAGATCCACCTTTTCAATGTCTATAATAATAGTAACACTACTATACTATCATAACTACAGTAAGATACCTGAGCGGTTAGTCCAGCCAGCGCAGCGTACGCGATGCTCTGCGGGATCATGGTCAGTCCCAAAGAGATCCCAGCCACTAGATCCGAGACAGCATCGAGCTGGGAGTACTTGGGCAGCCAGGTCAACACCGAGACGTACTTCAGCAACGATGACTTCAGTCTGGATGGCCGTTCAGGCGAAGTCGAAGCTTTTGCCATTGCTTCTATATAATCTTCGAGAACGGTGACGCTGGAAAGTTCATGAGACGTAAATTCAGCCGAGTTACATTCGAATGCTCCGTGACACAGGGTACCCACCGAGTAGAGAGCTGTCCGTTTGCGGGAGCCGCGCAGACACTGACATGTGTCATCGCGTCGCGAGCATAAACGCGATCCCATGCCCCGTATCAGCAGATTTCCACGGCTCCCAAATCGTTATCAAGCCGGTGTGTCTCTGCCGAAAGCTCCGAGCAAACAGCTGGCGCCAGAACGAGGAAGCTGCAGCGTCTAGCTCCGTTGCTAATTGCCGCAGCTTCCACGCGGTGGTAGAACAACCGCTGGAACGAGTCTGAACGACTCTTACAATTGTTCTTTACAATTCTGGCACGCTTTGGCATTCTTCGTTTGATTATAGGATAGTTGCTTAATGCTAAACTAAGACGCTACGCTGACGCTTTGGCTACTGGGATCATTAGATCAACAGTTTCGTATTCCTGTGCGCCGATTCACGTTTGCCGGAGTTCAACGGAACAAATCTTAGGAATAGATACCGTTTCCATTGTTTATCTCTGTCGTTGATACTTTGAGACTTCGGCAAACGAAATCACACGACGGTGACGCAACAGGCTGCCACCGGATCATTCTCGTTTTCTGGAATCTGGCTAGATTTCTCTTAATCTCCGGCAAACAAACTAAACCGTGTGTTTGCCAGGCGCGGTTAAAAATAGAGTACCTCGAAATTAATGGTAATTGATTTCTCTTGGTTCGTATACATGTATACATTGCTTGTCCATGCGGTCGACTCTGGCTTGGGTCAATGAGAAACGGAAGTGACTAAAACGAATACTTTTGCAACTTTTAATACTTCAATATAATAATAATGATAAGAAGAAGAAGAGGAAGAATCATATAATAACGACAATAATGGCGATGATAGTAATAACAAGTAACATAATGGCGATGACGATGACGATAATAGTAACAATAATATTAATTGGCAACAAGTGAATCATTCGAATTCAATAACCGTAGTAATAATATACATTGTATGCAGTTTATTCTCGATAAAATCTCTATGTAAAAATTCAATAATCGTAACACAATAACAAGATCATTTGGTACCGTGTGTCGCCTTCCGTGAGCCAGGCGCGTGTCCGCGGCGGTGGCCTCTACGTCAATCTCTTGTTGACCAGATCGATCTGTTCGTCGACCCTTTCCGAGGTCCCGCGGAACTTGGTCGGTTTCAGGCCGACCATCTTGATCAACATCGGTACGTAGTGGCAGCTGACCTGCGTCAGGCGTGCCAGGGACTTCATGCAAACGTACAGCTGCTCCTCTTCCGGGGTGCCGTTGAAGTATTGGCACAATGCCATCGTCAGTTCCGCCGCGACGTCGTCGAACACCTACACGGAGGGCACAGACAGAAGGATGAGCGTCCGAGCTGTGTCTGCGTCACAGTTGTTCGACCACACACCTGCACGGTACCTGACAGATCGGCGAACACCAGGGCAAAGGAAAAAAGAGAAAACGAACGCCTGGGGCTCGACCGTGATCGACTTGTCGCTCTAATCGCAACGACTTACCGTCACCCGCAGCCGTGTTACGTGCGTAATTCGTTATAGATACCTTAGAAATGCTGCCTTTCGGTAAAAGTTGCCGCAGACTTTTCATTTTGTGCATTTTCTGAAAAAAGCAGTATCCGATCTCTCGAGAGGTATCCATTCCGCTTGACGGCGCAGCGTCGTACATGTATACACAGAAATGCGGGCGAGCAACGAGACGGTATCAAATTTGTATCATAAAATTATTAGCTATGTTACATGTGTAGGTAATATAGTCGCTAATGACCCAAGTGTTGATGCGACTGTAAATAAATATAAATAAAAAAACGAGATATCCTAACGATGATATCGTGTAGATGTCTTTAAAATCATTGAAATGTTCCTCGCAAGGATGGTTTGGAAGTCTCGTTGCCCGTCCGCGACTCTCGGTTACAGAATACCGTGAGTGGAACAGTTAGGAGTCTCTCCGACGTTCGACAAGTGAGCTATTAATGAAGGCAGCACTTCTATTCGTCGGAATAGCGAAAGCGCGGCCTCAGTTGCCGGTTCGTTTGATTAGCGACTCCTAACAGAGGCGAGAAGCGTTTGTCAACACACCGAGCTGATCTTAGAGAGAAGGGAGGGTCTGTTCCGGGGGTTCTTTTTACAGAGAATCAACGTTTCAGCAGTGACTGCAGGCGTGAGCTCAAACAAAAGCAGATCAGAGTGACCGTTCGTCGGACAGGAGAGATACAGACCACAGTTTTTACCTCCTTGCAGGCCAGGTTGTGGATGAGAGCCGCGCCGCGGGTCTGCAGGTCCGGCGAGGTCGACAGCAGCGCGTGTATCGCTACCTTCGTTGTCACTCTGATGTTGCTGATGCTCTGGTTTTTGTGCTGCCACAGGGATATGTACAACAACCATTCCGAACTGCTGAGATTCTCGAACAGGTTCGTCAACTGAAATACGGTTGCAAGCTCGGTTCACTCCTCGCGTTTACACGCTGCTGAGCATCCGACGTGAACGTTTCGCTTACGAATTGCGTGAGAGCGAGTTGCTCCTCCGGTGGATGAAGATCAAAATCGTAAGCGTGATTCATGATGATGTGCTCTCGCCTGTCCTGGTGCAACAGCAGGATCACGTCATCTTTCAACGCGGCGACGGAAAGTATGTTGAACAATTTCACTCTGGCATCGGTCGCTATGGACTCGTCCTCCAGAATTCGACCTGAGCAACAGGGTACGGAACATTCGGTGGTGAACACAGTGATATTTATCGATTGCCTGTAGAGCGAATGGTTCGAATTGATCGACTAACCCACGAAATTTAAGAAATTATCGCCGAGCGCCCAGGAGCCTTCGTCTTCCAGCACGTACTGTCGAAGTTTGTCCATGCACTCCTTCTCGTCGTCGTTCAACTTCCCATCCAATAGAGTGTTCAACGTCTCGTACTCCGCTTTCACGTCCACCAAATCTTTAAAGACTATGGGCGGCTCTGCTGGTAATGGCTCCGAGTTCTCCTCGAAACTCAGGAGCTGCGCTTCGGTCAGTTGTGGAGCAGCTAAGAGGATAAACGAGAGTATGTTAAGAGTTGCAACAAGTAAGAAACTGAAGGCGGTCGACGATGAGTTTACCTTCGCTTTCCGCCATGTCTGAACAATTGCTAGGACCGGTGCTATTCGTATCGCTCGCAACCTCTTTACTTCCTTTCTGCTTCTTCTCCTTCTTCTTCTTTTTCTTCTTCTTTCTATCCTCCTTGGCTAGCTTCTCGTTCAGCTCGTTCCTTCTTTCTTCCAATGCAATTGAATTTAACCTACAGGTGAAATACACACGTTGTTAACCCTTAGCACTCCAGATGGTTTTGTAATCTATCAGCAACTGCAACTAATTTTTATAGTATCCCTAGCGAAAATGATAAATGCAACATTTTTTAGGTCTTTTATTTTCCTTCTTAGTAGAAACTTTGGATGCGTGAAAAATCTAATATTATTCCTGGTGCAATATTGGAGCCTACAGAGTTCAAAGGGTTAAACGTTGAGATTAAGTTGGATGCAACGAGGGGAGCAATGCTTACCGTGCTTCCTCAATGGCCTCATTTAAAAGCTCGAATTCCGGAGAGACCTCCCTCTGATTTCTCGTTCCTAGGAATGTCTGGCCGACTGTGAACAATACTGATCCGCTCGCTCTGTTGCTCAACGTTTCTATCAGCGTTCTCAAACCTTGCCCGATCGGTCTGCGGAAAAATAACTCTGATATCGAGATATTCTCTCTTCACACTACTAATTCTAAGCAGCGAATGACTACAAGCGTTCCCTTACGATTGAAGTATCTCTTCAGGTAAATCGAGGATGTACTTTGGGATACTTTTGCCTGCCAAGAAGTTGCTGACTTCCTCCGTGAAGCAATTGCAGTTGTGCTTGAGAAGGTTGTACGTTCCTGGACTGCAACAACACGTTTTACCGCTTGATCATTTCATTTGCGACAGTGCCACGGGCTGCGTACTCTTGCGTTCTATTTATTCCGTGAATAAAACTAGAGCAAAATTCGAGCTACGAATTTTGGGAGTCGTAATAACCAGAATAAGAACTCGGACAACTTGAATGATGGCCCACTTATCACGCGTGATATTTATGACGCGCGACTATCCATGAAACATGTATACGCAGAGGAATAATAATATTAAAACGCTAGATATACCGAGCACAACTAGGACACTGCCCAAATTTCAAAATTTCTTAGTTTCTACGCTTCCAAATGTTCTCAAATTTCCAAACGTCCGAGTCTTCGGATTCCCGAATTTACAGTTCCTTCGAGAACGACGATTCAAAGGCAAAAGGAAAGCTATAAAACCACGAGGGATCCGTTAATCACGACGAACGCGACGATAAACGGAAACGAGAAATTTGGTTAATGAAACGTCTCCGCGAGAATCGAGTGGCAAGCGCGCGATCGAACGTCGAGGAAAGAGTACGTAAATCTAAATAGAAGGTTCGTGAACTCACGCGAACTTGGAGATTCCCAGGCCGTTGATGTACTCGAGGAAGACGGAGTACGACAGGTAAGTGTCGCCGATCCTTTCCACCTTGTCCGGCTCGCCTAGCACCGTTCCACCCTGAAACGGGAAACGAATTCTTCCGGGATGATGTTTCGGGAAGAAATTCGTGCATTCGGAAGCGCGCCAATGTCAATTTTACGGAGGCGTGCGTCGCTGCCGGTCGGCCAGCACCTACCGTCCCACCCCCTAAACCCGCGTAATTTTAGAACCGTGACAAACCCACGGGTTCCCAGCGAGGAACGCCGAAAATAAACCCGGTCGCACCGTTCCACCGCGGGAGAATAACGACGCGGCACCAAAGGGAAAGGAAAAACTGGGAATACCGGCGAAACAGTCGGAAGAGAATAAGCCAACCAAGTTTCCGTTTAGCCTGCGGCTTTTCGAAAAGCTTCCGAAGAACTGACCGAACGGATCTCCCGTTTACCTCTCGCTTCGCCTGGAGCGGATAACTAACGAAAGCGGAACTGAAAAAATAGATCGAACCGGAGAATCCAATCGAACCAATTAGCCACGTGTGCCAGGCGAGATATTCTCGGAGTTCGACGGGAGAAAGTATGGAAGAACACTCGCGCGTTTCCCCGGATCACGTAAATCGGTTTCCACTCGCATTGGAACTGACGGCACGCGCCGCCGGCTAGCCTGCCCGAAGACATCATCGCTGATCGCTTGCGCAAGCTCCTGCCCGACGCTGCTTCCGGCTTAAGCTTCGCTACATGCTGCATGCTTCTGCCGGAGGACGACCAACGTTTCTCTATGGTGTCATTCGAGAATCCCTAGCGACGAACTCGGACCGTGCCGGGCGCACCGGTTGTCCCTTTTAACCCCTTGCCCTATGCTAACGTGTCGGACTGAAGATTTCTTTCTTTCGAGTAGAAATTGGATAGTACTCTTTTCTTATGGGTCGTTATGCTTCGTGGCAGGACGTGCCCAAAATTCTTCTGTTCTCTGAATAAATCGCTAACGTCGCGTTGGTCATCGGTGGATCGTGGTAGCAGGCAAGGGGTTAAATTTTGATGGAATATCGAACCTGCCGCAGGATCCGGGAGCGGTTAGAGGACGGAGGTTCCAGTGTACCTCGATGCGGAACGGTCCATGCAGCTCGTTGGTCGGTCCGACGACGGGTCGCGCGACGAGACTTACCGACAGCACAGCTTTCGCCTTGCTCGGCTCTAGACAGCGGAGACCATACAACGGAGAGAGTGACGGCGAAGCGGCCAGAGAAATGAGTGAAAGAGAATGAAGTAGTCCGGGTAGCTAATTTTAGCAGCGACCGGACCAAATTTAGTACCCGCTGCGCCGCTGTCCGCCGTATCGTATGGCGAGAATGACTCGCCGTAGCCTAGCCTCTGCACCGGCCACCGATCGGACGCCGGCGAATGCGACCAACATTTCTTCGCCGGCAGACAATTTTTCCGGCGACGAATTCCAGCAATTGACGGACCATTCTCGAGACGGTCTTCTAACTTGGAGGACTCCTAACTTCTCGTTTTCCTTTTCGTTTTCTCGAGATCCACGCGTTGCTCGGACACGCTCTGAAGCTGTGGTTCCCAACTTTTTTCTGGGCATGCCTCGCCTAAGCGTCTCGGAAAACCTGATGCCCCTACCAATTCTTGTGATATTCCTGCGACTACGTCCTCGAAGTACCTACAGTTAGATCCTTGAGCTTCGTGCCTGTCGCAGAGAGATTTTCTGTTACTGGTTAATAATGGAAGATTGAAAGGTAGAATCACTGTCGATAACCGATTCTCCTCTGCCCCGTGTTGGGAACCACTGCTCTCGAGGCGATCTTCGGCAATTCGCAGGATTGTTAGAGAAGTTGGAAGGGTTCCGCGGAGGAATACTGGAGAACAGTATTGAAGAGTACGACGAGCACGCTTTCCTAACTTTCCCTATGAGAATCTAGCGAATATTACAGATCAACATTGGATAATACCAGAAAGGTCTGCAGGTCCTGTGACAGTAAATTCACTTGATCCCGAGCGAGGAACCTTGCTTGTTTAATTCATTCTACGCGCGTTGCTTCCTGCGTTCTCCAGCAGACGCAACCTGCAAAATTTACTGTCACAGTAATAGCCGCAGCTTGCTGGAATTTTCCTTCATCAGAAGGATGCGCTTGTCGATTGGTCGCTTACTCGGACGCGCTGTAACGCTCGAAGAGAAGTATCCATACTCACGGGTCGAGAACTCTGGATCCCGTACGGGCCAAAGTAATATTCCCTGCCGTACGCAACGATAGCCGTATGCCATATTCCTTCCACGTGTCGACCTACGCAAAAATAAACATTTCGCAGTTACATAACCTATCTGCAGAGCATTCCCCCTCTGGAGGCAATTAAACCAGAGAATTTTCGAGCAGAGCCGAAGAGCATATTTCAACGTCTCCATTTATCATCGGACGGCTGACCGTCGGTCGCGAGAGTTCTCTTATCGAATACAATTGTTATGTCGCGGTGGGGCGCAGTCGCTTCGAGTTTCAGTTTTTAATAATATTGTTGGACAACAGCAGTGGCGCGGTCACGACGCATAATTCCGAGCTTGCTCGCCCGGACGAGCCTCGAATTTCGAGTCGCCGGCCCCTGTCTTCCCTCGACCCAGTTTCTCATCGCGGGAATAGCCGGGCATATCCGCGATTTTCTTATTGCAACGCGCCTCTGGGAGGGTCGTGCCGCGCGCCATGGCGAAATAACCGCGAGAAATAGCCGTCCGACCCGACGATTCACCACTTTCGGCGCTTGCGCAACGCTTTATGAGCGTAACGCCGAGTTCTACGACCCTTTTCCGGTTCCCGGTCGCGGCTGATGTACGGTGCTGTCGCGGCGCTGTAAAAATCCTCTTTTTCCGTTCATCGTCTTCGAGAGTGCGGCTCGAACGTGGCTCGCGAAACGACGATCGAGCAGAAAAAGAGAAAAAGATGCGCGCGAGACGGCCGAGATAAAATTAGAGTAACTAGGAGAACTTGCCGCTCGAGGAAGCCTCCTTGGAACTCTTAGAGGTTACATACATAGGGTACGTCGGGTAGAGATGGCCCAATTTTTCGAAAGAGCTGTTACATCGTGAACGCGATTGATAATGAACGGGGAAGAATATATTTATAAGCTAACGATCGTTGTTATAATAGAATTATCTTAAGAAAATATGTATGAGGAGAATAGTTGAATAGGCATTCGTGCAAAGTGCAGTATGTTAAAAACAACTGAAAGTACGGAAGTCTGAGAATTTAAAAGAAATCAGGCCATCTCGACTGGAATTACCTTATGTAAGAGATATCGTAGTCTAGTTTATGCTCGTTGAATCTAATGATCTATCTTCTGAACGTTCAGCAACCTAAGCCCTAAGAAACGAAGCTCCCCTGTGGACCCGGCTGGCAGGCGAAGCTACCCGTCCTTCGGGGGTTAGTCGGTCTCTATTTCCACTGTGAATCGATCTGAAATATAGAAGAAGTATAAATAACGCGATCAACACGTATACTTTACATAAGACACGGTACACGATATATAGAATTAATTGCTACCGAGAGAAAAGAGCTGGGCCAGCTATTAAACACGAGAAAACACGAACGAATGAATACCGGAACTTTAAAGTGTCATTCTCTTAATAACCATAATATTCATTCCTCCGTCGTCCATATGATAGACGAATATACGACAAACAAAATGCCTTTTAGTTCTTCTTCTTTCGAATCAGCAGGAGACCCAGAATCACGACAGTAGCCAGCACGTTTCTTCTGAAAGGCATCCTACAAAACACAATGGTAAACACAATGGAAATATTTTTCGATACAAAAATTCACGTATATACTTCAAACACATACGAATACATGTGCAAACATTCGACGCAAGAGGTTCAATGGCTTCGTTGAAAAAAAATCCTAAAGATCGCTCGGAAAATAGCGTTCGAAGCCGAAGTGCGTCTTAAGGGAAATCCCCGATGGGAGTGTTCGATAGAGCGAATTTTTGTCGCATTTCCCCGCGGTTTCGCGCGGAGAAGACGTGCCGCGCCGCAAGCGCGTGAACAATTACAAGAAGCGCTTTCAAAAATAGATCTGCAAGCTACCGACTCGCGAGTGGCGAACGAACCTTGGATGAACGTGACGTAAACGCCTCGCGGGGACACGACAGACTCGTGTGCCGCCAGTTACACCGTTTCCGTGGAATTTCGTCCGAAACGGATCCTTTCTCTTCTTATTACTTCCGCGTTCCAGCGAGCCGAATTTTCGCCGAACGCTTCCTCTCGCCGTCGCAGTCTCGCTCGGAGGCTCTTCGACTCGCGAGCAGCAAAACTACCGAGTAGAACCGGCTTTCGAAATTTCTAAGTGTATCCTCGAGAACGATGCCGAAGGATGCGCAGAGAATCTTGAAACTGACCAAAGAAAATCAATGAACAATCGGTAATCGTCGACATTCGGGTCTGAGGGGAAATTGTAAGAAGCACTTTCCTGAGTCACCCTGTATAATGGTACCTGTACAATCTCTTGGCAATGTCCGTCGGATCGACGTTATTCGCGAATTAAAAACACTGACGGGTTAATGGCACCAAGGTGCGAGAAATTGGATACATAAATGCGCGGATATAGCATTGTCCAAATATAGAATGCGAAATGAACGCGTTAAGCGATTCACTTAGAAGCGATTAGACTCGATTAGGACGTTGGCTGCTATTTCAGTGGAATATTCTTAGAACGAATATTACACGGGCAGAGCGGAGACTCGAATGATTTCGAGTTAATTCAACTTCGACGATTCTGGCGTGAATTTTCGAGATGCACCCAACGATGCATCAATGGCGTGGTCCTCTGCGGCACGTTAACATCTGGCCACGCTGTTTTCTGTAAAGTAAAAGCAAAGTTGTGTTTTAAACAGTACTTTGAGAAAATACTTTCTAATGTAACCATAATGTTATACTTCTGAGATCGATTCCTCTTCGTATCAAAACAGAATCGCACTGGACGATTCCATGGGACGTTCCGCGTTTGCCGGGTGCTTAAGGGACTTCGTTCGAATTGCCATTTCTTGTTTCGCCATCGGTGATCAACGACGAATTTCGCTGGCTTTTTTCTCCGTCATTTCTCGATGTCACTCGGCTCGAGCGTTCGCCGTTATTCACCGTTTAAAAATATCTTGTTGTTGCTGTTTACCTCGCGTACCTGTATAGCGAGGCGAAGACGCAGCAACGGATGCTTTAAATAACGTACCACGAATTTCGGACAGAAGAAACGGTCTCCGCCGTTCGCGAATACGCTTATCGGTTCTTGCATTGTCATGGCTAAAATTAATGCTAGAAAATACGCATTCTTGTGTGCCGCGCGTCCAACTCGTGGACGGGTTTCAACGGGCGGTGTATAGCACGGTGCATCGGTGCATCGGTGCAACGATGCGTAGGAGAAGAAGAAAACGGCGGGAAACGCGGTGCAAAAGTGTAAAGCTAGCCCTATTATGGACTTACCGATTGCCAATTACAAAAGACAATTACAATTGCCGTTCGAATATTAACTATTAAGCCTCCGTTGATTTGCATTGTTACCTGGTCACCGATTTCAAGGAAAAGTATCTACAATTTAGGCACTGAGGTTCAAAGGTCGGACCTTCAACGGCAATGCGTGGCCATTAAAATTCCCAAAACTACTGAATTATTAATCGTGTTATTGTCCACGTGTCGATCAGAATAGTTCATTTGCATTACGCTTAGCTAGCAAAACTCCCACAACTAGTATCTATCGAATTAACACACTATTCATCGTGTTACTGCCCATGTCGTCGCTTAAATAGCTGAAATCCTCAATGGCTTAGCTAGCGAACTTCCCAAAATCAATGCCTATCGAGTTCAGTTACTATCAATATTGTTATTAGCCACACTTCGGTGATCAAGATACGCGTCTTCGCTCCAGCCAGCCTACAAGCAAAGGTGCTAAGGACTTCGCTCACCTATAACAGTCCTGGACATCGTTGCAGCCATGCCCTTGGACAGGTCATAAATGTAGAGTTCGACGATCGCGCTGGCGTCCTCCGCGTTCTCCATCTCGTTCAACTAGACGCAGAAAAGGTTGCTGGTTAGACGAAGCCTGGTCGGTCCAGCAGCGAGCGCGACAGGCTTGAACAACCGCGGAAACGGCGATCGGGCAACGGAAGGTTCCCGCGTCAACTCCAACGCACCACGGAACGGTACCGATTGGCTGATTCGAATCCGCGGGCCAATCCTCGGGGAACGGACCTCACGTGGTGGACCGGGCCGAAATCCCGAAACTTCCTCGGGTATCGCTCGCTTCTATTTTCCCTGCGGCGAGAGGACTAACTCGGTTTACGTCGGCCGCGACGGATGGACCGCGAGTCGGGACGCAAATATACCCGACCGGAGGCGACGGACGAGACGGAAACGCGACGGGAGGTCGGCGGCGTGACCCTTTCAAGCGGACAGGAAAGAGAGAAGCATCGGAAGCCGCGGTCGGAAGTGTTATGAACGCGGCCGGCGGCTAAGCTAGAGCTGTTATGCGGAAGAACGGTCACTGTCGGGAACCGCCACGGCCGCACGGCTGGTCCTCGTTGGATCGAGCGCTAGAACCCACTGTTGTGGCCCGGAGTGTTGCCGTCGCGCATCAGATGGAGCGACCGATTCCAACGCGTCGTTATATCACTCAATGAATCAGCAACGCGCGTCCCGCCTCCTCCAACGATCATCATCCTACGGAGGATGAATGGGGCCAGCGGGTGAACGGCTCGGATTCGTTTTGTCCATTCGGATCGCCGGGTACGAACGGTTAGGCTAGACAAGTAGGCAGACCGACGCTTCTTTACGCTTCCGAACTTGGTCTCCGTACCTGGCGCTGGTCCTGGCGACTCGAGAACACTGGAAGGAGAGCTGTCGGAAACGCTGACCGCACGATCGATCGAGGCAACGACTGCGACACCAGAGGCAGAGCCCGGGTTACATGCAGACCTCGTGTCCGACGACTGTCGAGCCTAGCGGGTGCTACTGATCACGGAATCCTCGCAGCGGCCGAGGACCAGTGCGGAGATACGGCGCGGCAGTCGTTTCTGCCAGGAAAGATCGTTAAAGAAGTAAGAGGGTTACCGCGTGCGAGCAGCGCATGCCTACCAGAGGACCACGCGTTTCAAACGGTTCGCCGTAACCGCCGGAAGAGATGCTCGCAGCTGACAGGTTTCCAGGTGATGGATCATTAGCTCCCTTGATCACTGGAAGCGGAAAGTGATGGGAATAGTCGGTGGAGGCTTGTCTGAGGATGAACGAGAGGTTCGGTGGCCAAGCAGTGTTTCTGGGGTCTGGAGAAGGAAGGTTTTAATTAATTACCAGTATTATGGATATTGATGATGGTATTGATAAGATTATTATTACTAGTAGTATCAATTGTTGATGTTGACATTACTAGTATCGATAATATAAATTAATAGTCTCCTCTATATAAGAAAGTATACCTATAGGTTCCAGCCAGGGATAAAGGATCATCGATGACAACTATTACCGAAGTTTCACGCAATCATTGAAACTTCCGTAAAGACACGGTTCTCTGAAAATCAAAGATACTTAATAAATGGAAAATCCATCGAATCGACGAGCATAGCACGTTAAGCGCGAACGAAATCTACTTCCGTTCGTCTCGGTCTGACCACTTCCGCCATTTTCTTTTTCTTCCCGCCTGTGACCTCCGGAGTCAAATGTTCGTCAGCGAAATTCGAAAGTAGCCGACTGGTAAACGGAGAGAAGAAGCTTGTACCTTATCGCCGTCGCTTCGGAATGGCAACGCGTTCCCACGCGAATAAAGGCAACGTCACAACGGAATAACCGAAATCACGCGTGGCGTCCTTGATCCGACCGTTACGACATCCTCCCTAAAATCGGCTTCGTCAACGCACAGCGCCGTCAGAAGAATCTCGATCGAACGGCTCGCGATCGCTTCGGGCCGCAGTGCCGTTCGTTTTATTTATAAACGAAGACGACCGCCAAGTGATCGGCGAGCGTCGCCGGCGTGGTCGAGTCCGACGAATTTCCCATGATCCCTGTCTCGCGTCCGGGACTCCCGTTGTCTCGCCGGGAAACATAATCCTAACCAAGTCCGTTCTACGACGTTCGAAAGTAATCCGCGTGGAGCGAAACTGCTGAAAAATAAACGCAAGAGGGCCAATACTCGAACGCGAAACAGTTCCCGAGCGACGAGACGAGACGAGACGAGACGAGGCGACGTGAGGCGAGGCGAGGCGAAGCGAGGCGAGATCCAGTCGGCGTATACGGGGTGACTCAAAACGGTGTGAACGGGGCACGGTACTGTTTACCGAGGATCCGAGACAGAGCCAGCGAAATAATCTAGTTAACAGGCAGCAACAGGCGCACGGATGGGAAATTAATAACTGGCGATCGCACTGCTCGCGCTTGTTGCCCGCTCGGTTGGGGGAAAAAGGACGCACACGCACCGCCACCGAAAAACGAGTGACAACTTGCCTCCTGTAAACACGTACTTACCTGTCCGAGCCGAAGTCGTAGCCGCTCGTTCGTTCGCCGATTTTCGTTCGCTCGACCCACGGGGAAACGGCGACACTGTCTCGCTCGCTCGCCTGTGCTCTACTCGAGTTTGTTGATCAACCGACTGTTCAACCACCTAAGATCGCTGGCTGATATATTCGTCGGCGCGACGAATTCACGCGAGTCATTCGCTGGTCATCGGCGCGGAGCTTGACCAGAGAGAACAGCGGACGACCCGAGGACAGGGCCGATAAAAAAAGTCATCGTTGCTCAACGTTATCTGTTCGATAGTCCGTCGAGCGCAGGGAAGAGAGGTTAGGATACCAGACGTTGACTCGACAGTTTTCTTCGGGCCACTAGGGACTTTGCGCGCGGCACGTTGCGAACAGGCGAGCGGAACACCGAGTTGAACAGCTGATGCTCCGTCGACACCGGCGAAATGTCAAAGTCCAAGCAAATCGTAAGTTAAACGCCGCCAAGCGAGCGGGCCTATTCAATTGTTCGCCGCGGCACGCTCGACCGAAGGCGAGTCGCGTCTCAGTCAGCGGACCGCACGTTCGCGGTGCGGCAACCCCATAACTTTCGCGTGAAACTCGGTGACATTCCCGTAACTCGCCGAAAAGTTCCCAGACACGCGAGTTCTCGAGTGGGCCTCGCTCCTTTGTTTTTAATTCGGCCTGCGCCGAAGATCGGCACAATGAATTTTAAATAAACCGGGCGCCGTGCCAGCCACTCGGTTTTAGAAGTGTCGTTGTTTTATTATTCGCTTTTCGTGCGCTGGCTTCTTTATTGTTTCGTGTTGATGTTAACGCTCGTTGATGCCTCGCGATTGTTTTGATAGGAGCGTTCTATATTTATGTTGAAAATGGAACTTTTGGAAACAGTTGTTTTTCTGTCAGGAGATTAGGGGGTAGATTAATGGGAATGAAATGAATTTTGAGTAATTAGAAAGTCATTGTGGATGTTGATTTACTAATGTATCATTATGTTTTATATATATGTATATATAACTATACTGAGTACTTATTTTTCAACTTACAGACTCTGCGTGTGCAGACCTCAGAGGGAACAAAACGCATAGATGTAGATCCATCTAATACCATTTCCAGATTGTTTGAAAAGGTTGGTACTTACAGTATTATGAGACATTTGTGTATTTGATTTTACACGGATCCATTAACCTTTCATGCTTCCAGATCTTCGAGGCCTTTGAACTAAGGAGTTTTGGTTTCGCGCTGTACAGGCAACGAGATCATAAAGATGAAATCATATCTTCCTTGAACAGAACAGTGTCCGGAATAGGTCTTTCCCATGGAGATATGTTGTACTTGGTTCCCTACAATGGTACACAAATATGGAACACTCCATCGACTAGCAGTGCCTGTGACACTCCATCTCAAGGTTTCAATTAAATTCTTCTACTTTGATTATCTTTTTCCCTTGTATGTTAATTCACTGATTTCTCATTTGACATTAGATGCAGGACCAATGGACGTAGTTGGATCCAAAAATCGTAACACCAATGCTTCCAAATCCGTACCAAACATTGTTGAAGACGAAATTGATGAGCAACTGTGGAAACTCGATGGGAAAATACAAAGAAAACGGGATGAGAAGCTGTGAGCGAACATATATGAAACTAAACGTTGCTTCTCGCCTGTACAAAACGGAATTGTAAAGATACTATTATTCTTTTTACAGATGCAGACATGGTGGGAACGGATGTTGCGTGCACTGTTCTCCTTTAGAGCCTTTCGATGAAATTTACCTTAAGGAACAAAATATAAAACACCTGTCTTTCCACTCGTACCTCAGGAAACTCACTGCCGGCGTTGATAGGTATGCCAACCGTTGCATCCGGTCGTGTAGCTCTAAGTCTAATTAACGCGTCTTTTGTAGAGGGAAGTTTATACAATTAGACGACATAAGCTGCCGCATAAAGACTGGTTGCAAGGACCATCCTCCTTGGCCGCGAGGCATTTGTAGTAAATGCCAGCCGAATTCCATCACGCTGAACCGTCAGACGTACCGTCACGTGGACAATGTTATGTTCGAGAATCCAACATTGGTAGAACGTTTCCTCAATTACTGGCGTGACACCGGTCTCCAGCGTATCGGGTACTTGTACGGGAGATACGAGAATCACACGGACGTACCATTAGGGATCAGAGCAGTCGTCGCAGCTATTTATGAGCCTCCGCAAGTAAGTCGAATGGAAACTAGCAGTGAGACTATTCAAGTATTCTGCAACGCGATTTCCGTTAAAGCTGAAACACCGTTTCAGGAAAGCGCAAAAGATTCTATACGGCTTTTGCCGGACGACAAGACAGCACTAGTGGACGAGTTGGCTCACATACTTAACTTAAAAAAGATTGGCTGGATATTCACGGACCTGGTGGCCGACGACGTGAAGAAAGGAACGGTAAATGCGATCCCAGTAATTCACGCTTCTCTCCACCGACGAGTAAACCTCATTCCTTTAATTAATAGCATTAGTTTAATTTATTCAGGTAAAACACGTTCGAAACGTAGAAAGTCATTTTTTGTCTGCTCAAGAGTGCATAATGGCTGGACATTTCCAAAACCAGTACCCGAACCCTTGTCGTTTCTCTCCTAATAACTATTTTGGCTCAAAGTTCGTTACCGTTTGCGTTACCGGTAAGTCGCCATCCCAGTTTTTTTTACTCTGCGCGAAGTTTGAGCACCGTTGATTCAACGTGTAAATGCGTTTCGCTACGTGCAGGGGACGACAAGAATCAAGTTCACATGGAGGGCTATCAGGTGTCGAACCAATGCATGGCGTTGGTGCGGGACGGCTGTCTGGTTCCTACGAAAGACGCTCCGGAGTTGGGCTACGTAATCGAATCGACCGACAAACAGTACGTTCCGGATGTCTTCTACAAGGTGAGTACATCCATCGATTCACGTAAACGTAATCGGAGAATCTCGTCGCGCGTGAGACTATCTCGCGCGACGCTACGTTGTACGGTAACGTACAGTTGGGAGATTACTTGATGTCCAGCGGGGCGGCACAGGGGGCGAGAAGTGCGATGGTTCAAAGTTTCCAAAGGGAATGAAACCTAATGAAAGAAAAATAGGAAATCAAGTGGTCTCCCAGCGGCAGAAGGAAGCTCGAAGGTATATGCACATTGAATGACACACGTGTGAAAGAGAAACAATTTATAACCCAAAAATCATTTGATTAAAAGTACATTTAAATCGGGCAACGAACGTCCGTTCCGTACATGTATAATGAAATAATAAAACTGTTGAAGCGAGTGCGCCGCGGACACACGCGGTTCCGCAGACAGCAAACAAAATGATTCCAATTTTTCATGTGTAACGATGATTACGCCTTAAACTTACGTGGAGAGGAATGAATGAGGAGGAGAGAGATCGGGGGAAACGAAAGACTTTGGGAACAGAGAGGGATAATAGGGTGAGGGATAGGGAGAGCGAAAGAGAGAGACAGACAGACAGACAGAAAGGACGAGGACAGAGCAAGAGGAGAAGAAAAGGAGGATAAACGGTAGTGTCCCAAGGAAAAAGAAAACTTGCCGAAAGTCGTAGCCGCTCAACCGTTTAATTCGAACGCGAGGGGCAAGGTAAACCGTCCGTCAGTTGTTCGAATCGATATTACAAGCTATGCGTTGCGTTGTTACCTCATCACGTTCATAAAAATATATGTAGTATATACGCGCGCGCGTCGGTATTGTGTGTGTATACAGGTGGGCTTCTAGCTTCGCTCGTTAAACAGGAATTCGTGTCCCCCCTCCCCTCTTCGATATACCTAGATTCCGAGAGTTTTGTCGCGCCGTTTACTCTACAACCCGGACGAGACTAAAAATGGTCAATTGTTTCAGTTGTCTCCGCACGACCGACAAATGAAAGAACCCAGTGTTGTAAAAATCAGCTGCAGCCGCCGCTCGAGCCCTTCGGAGCTGCTAGGACGCTCAAGCCTCGAGTCTTTAGCTCTGAAAGCCGTGGGTCTTCAGCGCGAGAGTCTTCAAGCTCAAAGACTCGACCCTTTAGCTCTGAAAGCCGAGGTCTTCGACGCGCCAGTCTTCAAGCTCGAAGACTCGACCCTTTAGCTCCGAAAGCTGAAACCTTCAAGCTCAAAGACTCGACTCTTTAGCTCTAACAGCTAGTTTTCAATGCGCCAGTCCTTGAGCTCAAAGACTTGAACCTTAGGCTCTCAAAGCTGAGGCTTCCAACGCTCGAGACTTGAGCTTTAAAAGCTGAAGTCCTCAACGCTCGAGTCTTCAATCTGAAAGACTCGAGTCGCCTGTCGCTACGTTAACACAGCAAAGCTCTCAAGCCCAGGAAATTCGAAATGCCCCGAGGGTTAAACTTTGAGTTTGAAACGTTCAACGCCGCGTCAACGTAGCAACGGACGGACCGAGTCTTTGATCGTGTTCAAGCTTAAAGACTCGAGTTTCCAAAACTTCGAGGCTGAGTTTCGAAAGTCTTCGATCTTCCCTTGATCTCGAGCTTCGTGGAACCTTGGGGTTCCAACACTCAGCCCGGAAGCGTGAAAGACTCGAGGGACGCTTTACAACACTAAAGGAACCTACTTAGAGGAGTCCGCGGCGTTCGAGCTCGCGGCTACTCGTTCAATCGTCGCACACGCACGCACGCACCGAACCGTCGATCCGTTTCACGGTTCCCCACGGAAATTATATCGTTACCAGCGCAATTACCAGCTAATCAACAAGTGTTAAAACTTTCAAGTTCAACATCGAACGAGGTTCATCCTTCCTCCGCGAGAAAAGGCATATCCGCGGCGTCGTCGAGGGCGTGCAGGCGGCAGCTCGTCCCCCGAAGCTAAAAGTATTATTCTCGCTTGTTCGCGGCACACCGTTGAACATTAAATTCGCTGCTCTCATTCTCACACTCCTAGACACGCGGAGCACATTCACGGTTATGATACACAACGACGATGGGGGAGCATTTTTGTGTTCACGAGGGATTTCAGACGAGCAGTACATAACGCAGTTACATTATATGTGTCGTAGGTACTTCGATATACAGCATCGAGGAATGATTCTCGTTTTAATATACAATCCGCTTTGTCTCTCTTTTCGTTCGTTCGTTCTTTCGTTCTTTCGTGGTTCTGACATCCGTTCACAATTTGTTCATTCATTCGTTTCTCCGTTCGGACGACGAGGAGGCTTCCTTACGATCTACGCGGTAGTATTTAGGCCCTTGCGTACAATTTAGTTTGTTTAGTGTGTTTTCATCGTGTCACTGAGATCTAATCTTAAATACACAGTTGTCTCGCGACGGTCCTACGCGGAGACCGGCGGGCGAGGAACGAAAAGGGAGGAGCGTTTAGTCGCGAGTCGATCGACGGGGAACGGTTCATCCGCGACGTTCCCCCCGACTC